ACACACACACACACACACACACACACACACACACACACACACACACACACACACACACACACACACACACACACACACACACACACACCTGTGGCCCATCATTCATAGCTTACAGAGACTTTGCAGTTTCTTTTTGTCTTTCTCACGCACACGCAGTTAAACCTCATTATTCTCACAGTCAGTAAAGCTTGCGTCTTTCCTCGTGTAACATCAGACCCTGAAGACATTTCATTACATACAAAAACCCTCTCACACGCTCTCCTCCCACCATCCCGTAATCCAATCACAGCGCTGCTAATGCACCTCTCTAATGCAATCAGCCAATCAGAGCATCCACTGTGGCCTCGCTGGTCACATGACACCCCGGCCCAGGCCTGTGCGAAGAACCATGTCAGGCTAATGCTATTTTAATGCATTTCTTAATGCAATTTAGCATTAGCTGCACAACCTCCCCCCTCCCGACTCCGATTCTGCCCCACTGGACACCACAAATCAATTTCTGACATTTCTAAAGAGACGATGATCCCCGTGTTGGCACTGAGGAAGAGGGATAATGACAGCCTAATGTGATTTGTGAGCGCAGGCTATTCCTGAAACAGGCTGGCCTCCCTTCACTTCCCCTTAACCAACATGCATTACTATTGGGGCTAATAGGCCACATTAAGACATATGGAGCCAAAATGTCCTATAATTGTAGAGCTCTTCAGTTACAGGTTTCCAGCTACAGTAGCCCAATGGCCAAGACTTCACATTCATGACAAGACTGGAAGTTTGTCACAATATATGAGAGAAACATCTTGAGTGGGTTTCCAGATCAGGTAATCCATGATTGCATACGTGTTTGTAGATTCAAAGGGATATGAAATTCTGGTCATTATTTACTCACCCTCACGTGTTTCTTTTTAAACGGCAAATTTGTATTATAGTGTGCGTGTAAGCTGTATTATTGTGTATATATAACAATACTTAGGACAGAGGAAAAAACAACAAAATATTTATGTTCAAATAAATAAAATACCATAAAATAAAATAACAAAATAATAATAGATACCTGTTGCACAATAATCATATAAACCCACATAGATCAAGCTTACAAAATAATGAATGACAGCATGTGGAATATCTGTATTTGGACTTTGAGTGTATTATTCTGAACTCACTTAAACTTGGCGTTGACCTCGTCTGCTGCCTTGTGATAGTTTTCATCTGTAACCTTGTAGAACTGGGCACTCTGAGGAAGAGAAAGACAGAGTAGATATGTGTCAAAAAAATTAAAGCTTTTATTGGATGTACATCCTTATTGCCTCTGTTGTCTCCTTCAGTATGAACAGAGATAAGAGAACATTTATAGACATAAAAAGCTCACACAAAAATTCAAAACAGCAGCAGGTTCAACCCTGATGAGTCTCAACATTTCTCTGCTACCAGCATAAGAGAAAAAAACCCTCAGTTAAAATATAAATTAAGCATTTTTGTTGTCCGTGCAGCACAAAGAGTTTTGCTCGCTTTCAGATTTCAAAGATGGGAGGAAATCAAAGAAAAAATGTCAACAAAGATGAAAAGGTCATCACACTAACAGATGATGGCAATCTAAAACCTTATGAGGTTCTTAGTGAAGTGTGTCAAGAGTAGGTGGGCAAAAAAAAATGTCCCTGCAACCTGGAATGGATCTTGATAAAGCTTTCGGTTCGACGATTCGAAAAGATAACTGACATTTCAAAGAAAATGGGCAGAATGTCAGATGGATGACTGAATTTGAGGATGTGACAACAAAAACTTGCTCAAGCTACATCCATAAAGAGAGCTCTCAATCACAGCCAGACAGGTTCATCTCACATTCACTGTCTAACACACACAATCAATACAAATGAAAGGCTACAACCATGAGGATCAATAATTATATATCTTAGGCTTTTAGTGAAGCTACTGTATAGCTTCTGATGGACTGCGCGTCAAGTAGAAATAATTTGTCTAGTGGCTATCAGAGATGTGGTACGAGTCCAAAATCAGCTTCCTATCAAACATACCAATGGTTAGTAGAGAGATAATTTACCATAAAAGACCATTAACAATGTTTACTAGCCAGAAAAAAAGTATTATAATTTTTTATTTAACATTTATTTACTTTATTAATAAAATATATTTAAATAATGATACTTAAGGCAAAAAAGTATAAATGTAATGAAAAAAAATGATACATTTAGTGCAAAAAAAAAAAAGAAAAACACAAAATAAAATAAAATAAAAATTAGTTACCAGCTAAATGATGGCTTTATTTTCTTGCCAAGGCAAAACATTTGGTCCTTGCTTGAAAGTGTGGTTTTGGACTCTTTGTGGAACTACAGTATTGCACTATGGGATGTAGGAAGTTGTGAACAGTCATCTTGCACAGTAGCAAAGTTCCAAAATAATGTTTTATTTCCCCCTGAGTGGATGTTGACAAGTCTGCCATCAAGCCTATTATTGGAACAACAGCTTTGAGAGTTAAAGACGAGATCAGGTACAAGCTTGACTCCGAGGGGCCTGATATAAGGGAACAACAGCAGTGATTTTAAGAGCATGTTGTGATGATGCAGATCTAATGGGAGGAGTCAGTAGTAATCAGGGCTACACACTAAATAGGCGCTGGCCTGCAGCACAAATTGATTACGTGGAAAGTGAGTTGGACCTCCAAACACATGCTCTAAAACCACATGACCTGAGCGACGGTGTAATTTGGGAGGTCTGCCATTTCCCTTGATTAATGACAGAGTGGGATAGGTGCTGATTTTGATTTCAGAGTTGGGCCACACTGATTTAGAGGCCCCTCCATCAATCTGAGAGCAAACGTTTCCCACCCACATGCTCTCTCGCGAAACCCTAAACCCTCATCTTCATCCGCAATAGCCAGAGTAGACTGTAATCAGATTATGATTACAAAACCTGATTTTATACATCTTAACAATAATTTTCAAAAAAGTTTTAGAACATTAATTTTTCAAGCTGAAAAGTGTTTATTTGTTTATTTCATAAATATTAGTATTTTGAAAACTCTGACATTGGCATTTCACAACCTGAACTAACTTAGCCTTGTCACGAAAAGAGCAAATAATCTAGAATTTTAAAAGGCTTAAACACAGTGGTAAAGGTTTTCAGGAGTTGTCTCTATGATGAGTTAGTTAGACCACATGACTTTGCTTTTATTAGTAAAACAGTTTTGTCTGTTGGACCACGTGAATGTGTTTGTCACAACACATTACTTTGATTTTGCTTTTATTATTACAACACAATGCCTTATGTTTTGCTTTTATTATTAAACAGTTTTGTCACAACACATTGCCTTGATTTTGCAAAAGTGTTTTATTATTTATTGTATATTTAAATAATGATAATTAAAAACGCTTGTCTGCTGGTTGCACCGCAACTTTATTATGATATGATTTTGCAAAGTTATGTGATCTTACATCATATATCATATCATATCGTAACATCATATTTCATATCAGTCTTTGATTTTGCGAACCAGTTTTATTATTTCTTCTTATGTACTGAACAAATCTAAAATACTAATATACAATTATTATTTCTAATATAATTCCTGAAAAATCAAAGTCAAGTGGCACGACCAACAGACTCATGTGGTCCAGCTAACTTATTGAGCAGCTTTATTTTGCAGATACATTTTTTTTTATTATTGCTTCCTATATACAGTATATTTAAGAAATACTAATATCTTTTATCTGTGAAATCAAAGTCATGTGGTGCAACTAAATTTTTACAGAGAGGCTTCGATTTTGCAAAAGTGTTTTTCCCTTTGTTCTTATAAGAAATAATGATAAAACAGGTTTGTCTGCAAAATCAGTTGTGAGGTACCACCAACAAGTCAAGTTATGTGGCACGACCAACAAAATCAAGTGGTCCAACTATGATATATGATGTTATAATGTTGCAGTTGTACTACCCTGACATTTTTTAAAGTCAAAATAGCCTCATGATTTTAGGTACTGTGTCATTCAAAGCCTTAGCAAGCACTACTAAAGAATCCAGTCCTTTACATGTTCAACAAAGCAGCTGTCAGACTCCTTTCTCACCTTCTGTTTACAGGCATCTAAAAATAAAACTTTATTTAATCTGGTGAACACAGGGGTATTATGGACTAATGAAAGAATCTCCTAAAAGCTACTCCTGCCACTGACGGTGCATATAGGTGGTGTTTTGAGAAACAACCCCATGTTCAAATTAAATCTCGCAGGCTTTATAATGAGAGGCCTGAGCAGTGGTGCAGTAATCAGCAGGCTGTGTTATCTCTCATAGACCAGAGAGGATGTGGAGGGAAACCCCCACTGAGACAGCCATTATGGCTCAACAGCACGGCGGCCCTATTGGCTCTGCAGTGCACCGGCGGAGGCGCGAGACCGAGTTTTAACAAATCAAAGCTGGTGACTGCAAACAGGAAAGGAAAGCAGAACAGAGGCCTGTGGAGTCAATCCTTCCATCACTGCCTCGTACTGCGCGAGACTGTGAAACAAAACAGATGAGTGGAAATGTCGCAAACAAGCACAAACACTTTAATTCAATTGCATTGCATTAAACATCCAGTCCAAGCATGGAAAACATTTTTAAAGTGGCATATTGGTGACATTTCAACTCCTATGGGTTTGGAACGACATGATGGTGAACAAATGATAATACATTTTTAAGTATTCAAATTTTTACTTTGCTTGTGGCTGTCTGGAAGTAAAAAACAAGGGGACATGAGTGTGAACGCAAAGCTCAAGCTGTGTCTCTTGACTAGATAAAACTTGGCTAATTAAATAAACGAGGCCTCGTGCAGAGACAGCCTCTGTCCCTTTCCAGTGTCTCGTCTACAGTGAGGAAGAGATAATGACCACACACTGATCTCAAATAAAACAACACACACTCTTCCCTTAACAATGCTGTCAGTAAGCACTGCAAACAGAAAGACAAGTGTGTTACATGCAGAGAAGAGCGATTTACATTCAAATCCATGTCTAGCCTCACTACGGGTTACTACGACCACATCATATAGTGTTGCTAGGTAACAGCCCCTGAGAGTCTGAATCAAAGCTTTGAATGAAGAGCAAGTTGTAAACTAAAGTTATGCTACATCATGTGATAAAAAATTTATACATTTTTATTATGGATTCAATGTACTCTGACATAGGAATAGGTTGACCAGTAAGAATTTCAGGACATACGGGTCCAGTTGTGCTCTTCAAAATGTAATGGGATTGAGAAATGATTAAACTGTTTGTTGGCAGATGGTGGGAAAATCGATCATTCAATTATTCATTATTACTACTGATTCATGATACTACTACTACTACTAATAATAATAAGGATAACAATAATCAACACAATTAACAATCAATAATTATTTTTTAATCCCTATAAATTATACAATTCAAACACAGATTAGGAAAACATTCCCACATTGTTTTTTGTTGGTAATAAATGGTACTTTAATTGAATTTAAGAAATATTCCAATATTACAGAATTACAACAGACTCACAACTTTTGTTACCAAATAAAAGAACACTGAGCTGCAGGTGAAATGCACTATGGGAATTTTATCACTGACTCTGACTGGCTTGGTATGCGATCAGAGTTATTATTATTTTCTTACACATTATCAAGCCAGACCATAACAATGGAAAAAAGGAAGAAGTGTTAAAGGAAAAAAAAAAAAAAACTTCTAATTCTGAACAGGCAAACATACAGCCAAAGCCACTGCAGTCAAGTGCCCTTGAGGTCATTTAAATGCCATCGATCAGGCTAAAAACACTGTAGTAGCAGCTTTTTTCAACACCTCAGACACCTCCACTGTGATCATGGAGCATTATGAGAAAGACACCAAACTACTAATAATTCAATTGAGGAGAAAACCCCCCTGAAAAGAACTACTGAAAAAAAGCAGAGCGCTCAGTTGAAATATGAGATTGTTTTACAGAGAGTATTGAGTGAAAATCTGTGGCGAATATATATGTATAGTACATATATATATATATATTGTTTCTAAGGCAATTTGAGTGGCCGCACCAATAAGTAGGCTGGAGGTGGCAGCCGCCGTCTCAGAGCTGTGATGGGCTGTCAGACACAAGCCACTGATAAACGAGCAAACTGAATTGAAAGAGACATGTAATGTATATCAGCATTTTATTCTCTTCTCTCTCTCTATCTCTCATTCGCTCTCTTTTTCCTTTTCGCTACTGGTACTGTTACAGTCCAAAGGCTAGGGAAAACTGCAGTAGAGAGGAGAGACCAAGAGGAAACAGTAAAAACAAAAACACTATATTGTGTTATATTCAAAATCAATCCATTGCTTCCCAAAATGATTTGCTAAGTTGCAACAAACAACATTTTTAGTCACATTCTCTTAGTGCTGGGCGGTATACCGGTTCATACCGAATACTGGTGTTTATTTTTGTTATGATATGACTTTTTAAAATACCGCAATACCGGTTTATGTCGCTTAAACAACGTTCGGAACGTGACACTGTTTGAAAGGGGTCCCTGTGGGATTACACTGTGGTGAGGGAACAGCTGTATGTGTTACTAAGCGTGAAAGTTCCGAAACTGAAGCTGTAGAACTAATAGAACATGATGACACAGAAGAACTCATCCACAATATCCACATTGACCGCCACAAATATCCACCGCCCCCTGCCATCAGTTCCCGTGTCTCACACACACAAGCGCGATTTTAGCACTAGATTTAAAAGTGAAAAAGACTGTTACACTGTGGTGAGGGAACAGCTGTATGTGTTACTAAGCGTGAAAGTTCCGAAACTGAAGCTGTAGAACTAATAGAACATGATGACACAGAAGAACTCATCCACAATATCCACATTGACCGCCACAAATATCCACCGCCCCCTGCCATCAGTTCCCGTGTCTCACACACACAAGCGCGATTTTAGCACTAGATTTAAAAGTGAAAAAGTGACGTGGCCAAGTATGGTAACCCATACTCAGAATTAGTGCTCTGCATTTATCCCATCCAAAGTGCACACACACAGCAGTGAACACACACTGTGAACACACACCCGGAACAGTGGGCAGCCATTTATGCTGCGGCGCCCGGGGAGCAGTTGGTGGTTCGGTGCCGATGCCGCGATTATAAATGAGAGTGACTCCTGGTTAACATTAAAAGGGGTCGTGTTTAGTCACTATTTAGTGTGGTATTTTTTGACAATATTCACTCATCATGACAGTAAAATAGGGCATTCTAAGTCAGTATACTGCAGTATTTCCTCTCTCAATCAGTAGAAAATATGGTTAACACCAGGTCATGCATGAAAAAAAAAATACTGTTATGTACTGTGAAACTGACATCATTTTGAAAAATACCGTGATATAAATTTTTGGTCATACCGCCCAGCACTACAATCTCTCTCTCCTTTTTTGTTACGTGAAAGATTTGGAAGAATATACTGGTTGCTCTTTTCCATGCAATTACAACAAATGGCCACAAAAAGGACACAAAGCACAATAAAGTATTGTAAAATAGTTCTATATGAATCATATGCTATACTACAAATCATCTAAAAACTGTTTGTATGAGAAAATGTGTTGTAAATGTAAGTAATTATTTGCTGAATATCTTGATATTTGTCATACCTCTCCTTGGCATGCTTTTTTTTTTTAATAAATAAATAAATGAATCCATTAATCTGTTTCACAATACTCAATAAGTCAGTCATGAATCAGACATTGAATTAAAAAAAACAAAACAACAACAACACAAAAGACAACTCGGCCACAAGTAAACATTTGCAAATAATAAAACCTATTTTGACTACTCAGTACTTACTTTAATTAACTACTACTACTACTACTATTATTATAATTAATTTCAAATAAATAAATCATATTCAACTATTTTTTTTTATAAATTAAACTCAGCAAGTCAACATTTTCAGTGAATAATACGAACACATGATGGTTCTTGCATATAGAATAGGATGGTATACTGCATATGGTCCTTACTCTTTTCTAAGCCATCGCCTTGTGTAAAACCCAGAGCATTTATTATTTATGAGGTCTAACCAACAAATCCTAATTCACCAATCCATTGGGCTCAGACACAGAGTCCAGCTGAGTGTGTGTCTCTCTCAGAAGGGTTGAGGACTGTGTATGTGTTTGTGTATATGTTGACATAGTGCCGGGAATATTGAACAGAGATCGTTAAGTGATTGATGAAGCTTAGAGCGGTCAATAACACCTCCGCATGCATAGTTGAAATGGTCTGAGAGCTGTCCTTGTATAGAGACAGAGAGACTGAACTAAAGCTAGCTGCCGTGTGCAAGATCAGCTAGTTTCATCAACACAAGATAAGTCTAAATCACGTAAATGGTGCTTTAAAAGAATATTCTGGGTTCTTTTCTAATGTCTATGGACTTCATTTGTGGCATGCTGGCGATAACCACAGAATCCTTTTATTGCGTGCAAACAAACACAAAACATAGTTACAGTAAATCAATCATAATGGAAGCTTTTGAGCAGCTTTTATGGACTTGACCGGTCCAGATCAGCACTGATTATACTGTGCATTTAGACAACAACATGTACTGTAATGTAATTATGTTAAAGGCAGGTGCTCTGCTAGTTTGTTGCAATCATGTTTTTGGTTGTTTATTCAACAACAAAATTAGGGTTGCCCCCTAATAGTCGACCAAAATTTTATTAGTCGCTTAGTCACAGAAAAAAATAATAAAATCCACAGGTGAAGTCACGCAGTCCGTGACGGACAGATCGTTAACTGCTGGTCTATGGTAATACAGTACATTGGGCAGGACATCCAAATGCTCGCCTATCATTCATCAACCTCAAATATGGCTTATCATCTGCAACATGTAAGTATTAGCAACTTTACATGGCCGCTCAATCTAATATTAACCTAGAGAAATGTGCGCTATAGTGTCTGTGCGGAGTGTGGAAGCTAGTAACGCTCTCCACTGCAGGACAGATGGAGGCGCCGGTGCGCTCACTTGCTCTTAAAATACTTTGTATTCCGAGTAATACATCTTTCAAATCTGTAAAGACTCTACGTTTAATTGTGAGCACTCACAATAACAACAAAATGCTCTTTTTTTAAATAATGAAAGCAAACATTATGCGCTTTCTGCCGTCTCAGTCTCTGTGAACTTGAGCGCTAAACTCCAGGTATATCTTTGCCTTACAGACATTAAAAATATATCTATAGAGAGTGAAATGTCTACTTTCAAATGAACCAATTCAAATGGAAGACAAATTGCCTATTCTCAGATTAATCCGTATGAAACATGCATAAAGGCACGTCAACTACTGCAGAGATGATGAGTCAGTGTTGCCGAGTTCATCTCTTAATCCGAAAACAAAGAAAGCACTAGTTCATCAAATTATTAAAATCTTAATGCAGTCTCCTTACTGTTTTTCCCTGACACACTCATAATCATTACTTCTGCGGTGCGTTGTGGCAAGATTTATCCGTGTGCTTGAGCGCTTATTAGGTTATGTAGGCAATTAAAGGCTCATTATAATGATTTAAACGGTTTATTAATAAATGTGCGATTAGTTGACTAAAGCTTCAAATGAACGACTACTAGTCGACCAGAAAAATCCTTATTTGAGGGCAGCCCTAAACAAAATTGAATGAATGAATGAATATTAAAAGTCTGGAATACGGATAAAAAACCCCCCATTAAAAGTCATATATATATATATATATATATATAAAATGTAAAATACAAAAAAAATACATGTAAAATACAAATATCAAACAAAAAATTGGTGTCTTTTCATTTACTAATAAAGGATTTTTTTTTTTCTTCAAAAGTTAGCATACTGGTTTACATATTGGCTGTTGTTTAGATATTTAATTAGATATATAATAATGTGCATCATTTCAAATCAAACTGTAAAATTCTGAAAATATTACTGAATTGTGTGTACTTAGAATACATAAAGTGCTAGCTATCAAATTAGCCTTAACAAGATGATCTGACATTACATTACAAAATAAAATAAAATAAACATTTCCACCACAGAAAGCTATTAATAATAATACATAATTTGAGATTTATGAGTGTTTATGACATTTTAGGGAATAAATACATAGACATCTCCTGTTGCGTATATATGCCCAAAGTTTAATATTGTTACTAAATAAATGTATTAATTTGTAGATGTCATAATTTATTGTTAAAACAAACTAAAAGGAGTGTTTTAAGAATTTAAGTTTATTTTCTTACAATCATTTTAAACATTTTAAAATGCTTTTAAAATTTAAGCCCACAAGGCCTAAAAGGCCCATAGTTGCAGAAAAAACCCATTTATACATTAGTGCTTTGCTGATATTAAAGTAGGTAAATTGCAGATTAAATGAGTTGAATGAGCACCGATATATGGTAGCAACGGGCTAAACTATTGAAACACCTATGGACACAACCTACACTTTAAAATGGGTCATCACCAGAGATCGACCATTTTTGCACACTTTCACACCCCCTTCTGGGAGCTTAGTATGTGCATGCACGTTTGAGGACGAAGAGTCTGAGGTGAGGAGAGGTGGACGCCTCCCATCCCAGAGGCTCAGAGGAGGATCTGACCATGAGCTGCAGGAGGGTGTCAGTTTGAGGACACAACAAATGAGCGAGCAAGGTTGCCGAGGGGCCTCAGCCACACATTACAGATCAAGACAGCCTGCCTTGCCATGGTATTGTAGAGCAAGACAGCCTGTCTCACCTCTGCCTCTATATAACACAGGACAGGCTGACTCACATTCTGCCGCTATAGCTCAGGACAGCTCATCTCACATTCTGCACCGCGCATTAGTGAGTTACTGTCAAGCATTACGGTTATCATATCATGTTAGTGATAATGTAGCGCTTTAGTGTTCATCGCTATGTATTCGGGGATTGTGGATAATGTAATTGCAAATGTATAGGTCATACCCTTTCCTTTAGCTTGGCCACTTGTTCTCTGTAGAATGCGTCCTGCTTCCGGAGCTCTTTGTCTCTCTCCTCTAACTGTCTAGCCTGTGGAAAAAACACACAAAAACACACAATTGGCTTCAGTACAAGTTAAGTACACTATAGAGGAAAGAAAAAACCTCACAGAGTTTCTAGCATCCGTACACCACAAAAAGAGATATTTAGTATGGTGTTCACCCTGCTCTTTTCCATACAATGACAGTAAATGGTCCAAAGCAACAAAAACGACAAAAAGCACCTTAAAAATAATTTAACAGTTGACAATACGGCTTGTTCACTATATTTGAAGCTTCTGAAGTCATTTGATAGCTTTATATGAAGAACAGACAGAATGAATGTAAATAAATGTAATAAATGTTAATTATAATGCACCTTTCTTATACTAAAAGTGTATTGTTTCTTGTTTTATCCTTGTTCCAGACCTTTAATCATAAAATATAAATATTGGTGTAATTTCCATTATCACTAATACGTTTTTTTTTCCTTCCAAAAGTTAATGTATTTGTTTAAATATAGGAAATCATAATATGTTTATTGTGGAAAATCTGTTAAAAAGTGTAAAAATATGAATAAATTGGGTGTATTTATGATACATAAAGTTCTAGTTATCAAATTAGCCTTAGCAAGACAAAAGAGTCTGCCATTTCATTCCAAAAAATTTAAACATTTCCACCACATAATGCTAATAAGTGTAGAAATTTAATAGAAATTTAATAGATCAATGTTATTTATTATGCACCTTTCTTATACTCAAAGTTTTTAGCAGTTTCTTAAAACAGGACACACCATATTTGAATATATGCAAACTTATTTTGAGATTAGCAGTTAAATATGACTTAAATACCTTTTCCTCACAAAAAAAAGCTATTGCAAGACTTCAGAGGATGGCACACTTGGAGCACTTGCATGGTGCTTTAAATAATTGTAGCTTGATAGCCCCTGGTCACCATTTACTTTTATTGTATGGAAAAGATTTCTCCCTTTGTGCTCCATGAAAGAAAGAAAGCAAGTCAGGTTTGTAACAACATAAGGCAGAATAAATGATGACAGAATTTAAATTTTGGGGGTAGTTAATAACATAACTTGTGTATATTTCTTCAGCCACAATTATAACTAATCTAAGTCTTTACACACAGCAGCACCGTAGATTTTCTCAGTAGCAGCACAGTAGATGCAGTCATTATGGCCTCAGGTAGCTGGTATTGTGAAAGATGACACAGACCTTTGATTATTCCAAGGGCATCAGTTCATGACAGGGTTCATGTGGGAATGTTCACTAAAACGTCTCTGTGTGTTAGAGGCTTAACGCGTGTGTGGATGTAAGAGACAAATCGATAAGATCAGCAGTGGAAGAATAGAGAATCTTTATGGTCTTATCCGTGATTCTGTCCTATCGCACATGCCTCTCCCCCTCCATCACGCCTGACCTTCAGCTACTGGAAATGACCCTCACTAATTTCTAACACACTCGGAGAGGAGATATACTGACAACCATGTTTACTGATTTTAATATTTTTATTTATGGCCTTTTGTGCCACAAAATAAAGTGTATAGGACTTAGAACCCTTCGCGATATGATTACTATACACACACACACAGATATTAGTGCTGGGCGGTATACCGGTTCATACTGAATACCGGTGTTTATTTTTGTTATGATATTAATTTTTAAAATACCGCAATACCAGTGTATGTCGCTTAAACAACGTACAGAACGTGACACTGTTTGAAAGGGGTCACTTTTCACTGTTACACTGTGGTGAGGGAACAGCTGTATGTGTTACTAAGCGTGAAAGTTCCGAAACTGAAGCTGTAGAACCGTGATGACATGATGACACAGAAGAACTCATCCACAATATCCACATTGACCGCCACAATTATCCACCGCCCCGTGCCATCAGTTCCCACGTCTCACACACACACACACACACGAGCGTGACTTTAGCACTAGGATTTAGCAACTTTCAGACCCTTTTAGCGGATTTTTTCCATAGAATATTCATACTGACAAACCTAGCGACTTTTTTGGATAAACCTTAGCTATGATTCAGTTGGAAGATTTCACTAGTGCTGTCCCGCGAACGCGAGGTCTGACTTTCCCGGAGAAGTGTCACCTCTCTCGGCGTCTGTTCTGTGCAGTGAGCGGCAGAGAAGCAGCGCATTCAGTTGGCCGCACCGCAGCCCCCTGCTCAATAAATGAGTACAAAACAGCGTTTCCTAGCACCTGTCACTTACTGATTGTTTGGAATTATAAATATGAGCGTAGTTCGTCTGTTAATATCACATGCACTTTTGTGTTTGTTGTTTTTTTTAGTTTGTTACTCAGACGCAGGAAATGAAAGAAAAACGATGCTTAGAAAAAAAAATTCAGCAGTAAATTACAGAAAAAGAGAGCGAAAGAGACAAGAGAAAAGAGAAAGAAAGAGTGAAAGAGAGAGAGTCTTTTTAGGCATGCAGTACTGCAGCAGGAAGCAGGTTGAGACAGATATGGGACGTACAAATCAAACCACTTATGCCTTACCTTTCTCTCCATCTGCTGGAGTGAGGGAGCAGAAAGAAAAGCACACAGAGAAAGAGAGAGAGAGAGAGAGCAATTTAACGATGAAGTTCCTATAATTACATTCGGTATTCAAAGGAGGGATTTCTGGCCTGGCTTTGTTTATTTTCCAGCGGTGGGCAGTGCTGTTAGACTGCTGTGGCAGTGCAGACTGAAGGAGATCATCACACACACACACACACACACACACACACACACACACACTGCGGTGTGAAGCAGTGGGGTGTTTACTGTAGTGCAGGGACACAGAGACCGTACGATCTGCTCTGTGTTATCAAACACCGTCGCAAGGTGAGAAAGAGCTCTTCACAACAAATCTCATCTAAAATCTAAACCCTGAAAATCTGATCTAATCTAAATCTAATCAAAGCAGAGCAACCTCCATCTGAGCTTAACTCCAGCGCTCATGGAGGCCTGTGCCGCTGATGAACTTCTCTCTGACTCATATATATATATATATATAAAACCCCGCAGGTAACTCTGCCACGATTTCTAGGTCACTAAGAAGAGTTAATAATAATAATCCCAAAGAAAATTAAACTTCTTAAATCTTCTCACACACGTACACACTAAATTCTCATTCATTTTGTTATTGGAAAGGTAACATTACCACATCATATCATTATAGCCAGGGGCGAACATAAGTTTTTTCAGTCTGGTTCTCTTGAGAGCACCTGGAGATTTGGTTTGGTGCACTGCACATAGTGTGACCCATTAAATGCATCTGTAAAAAATCTAATAATTAATAATAGTAATAATAGTATTATTGCACTTAATTTAGTTTTTTTTGTAAATAAAACAAACAAAATAAGTAAAGTTTGATGACACTATTATACTTCAAAATAAAAAATGAGTATTAAATAAAAATATAATAATTTTATAGTACACTTAAATTCAATGGTAATATTTATTTTTTTCTTCTTTAATGTATTAAAAAAAATGTAATGGATTCGAAATTTTCAAACCTAAAATCAGCAAGCTGTTATTTTGGCAGGTTGCAGGGACTGTAGTGCTGCCGAGTGAAGGACGTCAGTGAATGAAATATCATATATTTGCGTTTTGATCCGATACCGGCAGCACATAGCCTAGATTTGTGCGTTCAGTTTGAATGGATATCTTATACAGTATTTACAATTAGTCGATCTGAAATGGTGATGACCTTTTTGCACATTTTTTTATTTTGGTTGCGCATACATACCGCTTATGTGCACCCCTGATTATAATTTTACACTTTTCTATAGAAGACTGGTGTTTGCTATCTGCTTGGGCCTTACAGGTCTTTGTGAGGGCATTTTTAAGTGATTGCTATGGTATTCTGATTAGAGGTTGACCGATATATCGAAAAAGGCCGATAATTGAGCCGGTATCAGCTTCGGCCGATCTGTTTTTCTGTTACTGAGTGCCCTGTTGGTTACAGTGTTTATATACTGTATATGTACAAGTATTTATAATATATATATATATATATATAATAATGAAAAAAAAAGAAAAATACTCAAAATAAAAATGACTGAAATAACTGTAATATTATCTCCATGAAACTAAAACCACACTGCCTCTTAAACGCACACACACCAAAATTACCAATTATCCACTGAGATTTGAATGGACGATGGCCATTAGATAACAGCATGAAGCCCAAATGTGTTGCAAAAATAAATCCAAAACAGATATCTGGCTACTGGTAAGCATTAATGTAGTTTATGAGGCCTAAGTGAAATCATCTAATTTCACATTGTTCACAATTAGACAAATGACATGTGTTAAGAAAATAAACAGGGTCGTTTTGATTTAACATTTCAGGTACAGTATGTTTAGAGCGGCCCATGACATGCGTGTGGGTGTGTATAACACTGTTTAATAGCAACACAACTGCAGTTTAATGCAGTCCCACACCTGCAGCAGTGAAGACGGACAGAACTGCTCTCCAAAAACACCCACAGCCCTCCACAGAAGCAGTCCACCCCTCTGGCAGAATAAATCGAACCTCTGCGTTGTTCTCCTCCAGCACTCACACGTACACACAGACACATTCAAGTCTGCGAGCCAATCGTGGCCCTTGCGTGGGCGAGAAGCATTGTGGGTAATCAGTCAAGGAGACATTATGGCTCCAAATTTTCTATGGAAAGAAATGCAGCTACTGCCATTGACCTTCAGCACACACACACACACGGAGCAGCTGCATTCACAGACCAGTAGGTAAACACAGTGACAGCGTATCCAATGAGCAATTAAAGAACAGGGAGGCGCTGCCACCGATGTGCGCACAGGGATTTTCCCTCTCATTCAAGACATCATAGAGGGCATATGGCAGCCCTCCGTCGCTCAGTCACACAGGCTGTCAGGATTATTTCCATCACATCACACTCATTCAGTCTCCTGCAGGTCATATAATCACATTACACTGCTAACAAAGGCCCCCGAGTCACATGACCAATCACTCGCTATTATCCTGCTAATGATGAACAGGGAGTGGGATGGGAGGCTGAGAAATGAAAGTGAAACTACAAACACTGAGAACAAGAGATGGGGAGGATGGGAGGGAGGACAATGAGAGTGATTTATCATACAAGATGTCACACCTCTCGTGACATGTGTCCGGATGGAGAGAGACAGAGACAGAGACAGAGAGAGACCCACAGCGAACTGCAATCCCGCTGTTCTACAAAGATTTTTTTTCTTTTTTAAACAAACTGGTGACTCCCCATCAGAAGAGAAGTGGGCTTGAAGAGAAACTATCACAGTTTTTTCCCCCTTCAGGCCCAATAGGTAGCGCTATAGTTAGCTCCTTGAAGACCAGTCTGTGACTAATAGTGACTAATTCTCAAAGCAATCTGCGTTGAAATGTGCCGCTCAAACTGTTTAGATCAAACTGAAATGATAGCTAAAAATAATCAAACTTCAGACCATTTTGTCAAATTATTTATTTATTATAAATACCTAGCCACACCTGCTAATTGTATAGGTGAATTGAGAGAGAAAAAAAAATATTTTAAATAAATATTTTTAAATATATACAAAAATATTTGTACATAAAGAAAGAAATTTCATTCAGATTTGTTGGCACATGGCATTCTGGAGAGGATTGGGTATCCCAAATTTTTTGTCATTAGAAGACGTCTATATTTGGTCCGTATGTCTTCGATTTTAGAGTGATTTGATTTGAACCATCTATTATTTTCACAATTATATTATATTTCTGAAAAGTTACTGGCCTTATTAGCCACATTCCATTTTTGAAATCACATTTGGCAGTTGGTTTATTCTGGGCCAAGTTTCCAACAGATTCTTCAGAAAAGAAATGCAGGTGCTACACAGAGCAAAAAGTTTGCCATTATTTCCTATAATTTCTAAACAATTTCTGGTGTCTGGAAATAGAAATATCTGAATAATAATCTAAATTAAACTTATTATTTCACTGTGACTGTGAGTGCCAAGTTTTGAATACCAAATAGATATATTGTTGATGTGTGAATGTGGGAATTTGTGCTCTATTTGCTCATCTGACCCGTGTCAGTAGTTCAGAATGAGTTGGTTTTGCAGCTTAGTTTTGATAAATGGTTTTTTTTTTTTTTTTTTAAACAGTGAAGAAAGTTTTAAGTTCTGAAAGTACAGGCTTTCAGAATACAATTAACTGTTATTTCGAAAGGCCAATGAAAATTTGATTTCTCATTATATGACCCATTAAAAACACTGCTATCCCTGAGACAATTTTTGTGCCGTGTTGTCGCCCACTCACACCCAATATAACAAAAACTTTCATTGCGTGACTCAATGGAATATTCAGGTTATTTTCAATCTAAAGTTTACGCACAATGCTATAAGTGCTTCAACAAAAAATACAATAACTGTAAATGCATTTCCCATTCGTTTATCCACATAGATGGATGAGCCAGACACCCAGTGTGCCACAGACAGACATTAAGTTCATTCTTTTAAAGACACAACCAGAGATATCGACAAAGGAATCTTCTGTAAAATGAGCAATAAAAACAGATGCCCCGTAACATTTATCATTCTGTATCTGGTAAGTGAGAATTCAGCACGGCCCAAAGCAACAGATGGGCTGCATTTCCTCCAGCTCGTAGAAAAAAAAAATTTAGACAGATATAATACTTCAAAAAACTTTGTTTTAATTGCAAGCTCGCCTCTTCCCACACAGTCTCCGCTCTCGCACAGCAGGATGACTTCAGCATCATCGCAGCAGACCCCATGGTCAAATTAAACGGGTCGTTTAGAAGGAAAAGTGTCTTGCTGAATATCAATTAGCTGCAGCTGAATAATTAAGAAGAGCAATGTTTTTAATTAGCCGAGTGCTACAGAGTTTGAACTAGCACGGAATGTACCGACATAACAGGTAAAAGCATGTGCTGCGTCAGGGAGATATTTTAAAAATGCTTCGTTCTTCCTATTTCCATCCTTCTACAGTACCTCCATTGTCCTCATGTTGACTGATCTGTCATCTGCTCTCCTACGCAAAGTACAGTGACGTTTCGGCAGCTCAACTTGGGTTTGGAAGGTTCGTGCCTTCCCTCATCTCGACCTGAGGTGAACACGGTCTTAATGAAGCGGGAAAAAACGCTCGCAAGCAGAGACCCACACATGAGACAACAAATCAAAGCTCTTTGTTAAAAACGGCGTCTCTTTCACCATGACCTTCGACGGCCGAACCGAACAAGGTCAGAGTTACTCAGGCCCCGGCATCCATCACAAGGAACTCAGTTGCCAGAACAAACTCAGGAGTTCACCTGTCCAGCAGGCACAGATCGAAGGTCAAATGTCGGGTCACAGCCAGCCTGTTCAGATCTAATTGGCACTGAGAAGAGCGGGAATAAAAGTGATAATGAGAGAGCGTAAAAGTGTAAGTTGGAAGAAAAACATGCAGGTTAGAAACCGAGAGTTTGATTTTGGAAGCTTCCAAAAATATGATTCGTTTCGGGAAGTTCAGTGCAGATAAAACGTCAACGTACCTTTAACAA